TTAGATTGTGCAATTGGGTTTAATCAGAAAAGTAAATTTTGAAACCAAAGATTAAGTCCTAAATTTTATTTGTATCTTAATTTTTTAGTTTAATTTTATTTTTTTAGCTAAAAAAGTCAAAGTCAATTTGTAAAAAAAATAAAAAAAGGAGTAAAATAGAAAAAAAGAAAAATATGGGATTTTGTATGAAAAATCTTGGATTCAATTAAACTCTTGGATTCTATCTCGGATTTTAACTTTAGTGGTTGAATAATTTTGGAAAAACTTATGGCTAAATCTATTGAAAAAAAGAAGATTGCACAGAGAATAAAATTGGAGAAAAATCCTAGATTCAGTTGAATTAATTTCTTCCAAATTAAAAGGAATTCAATCCCTGTATAAGGACATTGAATCTAAGATCAAAAGAGGGAGCCTAAAGGCAATTGATTTCAAGATAAACAAAGGTTATTGAAATGAGATAAAATTTGAATAAATGTTTGAATCAACGAGGAAGAAGCAATCAAACAAAAAAATTTGCAAGAAGATCTAATTGGAGTTTTTGAAAGAAAGGTTAAGATTTATAGTAGGAAACATCAATTTTTGAAATGTAAGAAATTGTTGGAACCCATGATCCATTGAGGTAATGTTTGCTTTCATTTTTTTTTTTTGTGATTTTTGCATAACTTTTATAATATTTAATTACTTACTTTTAATTTTTATATTTATTTCATGGTATATATTTTTGCATGAATTTGCATGACTAATATTATATTTGCACGATAATTTATTTGTCTAATAGTTTATTTATATGATTAATATATTTGTGTGATTTATTAATATATTTGCATGACTATTAATATGCTTACATGATTATTAATTTATTTGCATGATTATCAATTTATTTATTTGTATAGTTGCTTGATTATTTTTATATATTTAATTGCATGTTTATTTGCATGATTTATATTATTATTTGTATTATTATATATTTAATTGCATGATAATATATTTATTTTTATGTTTTATATCGTTAATTGCATAATATATTTATTTGTATGTTTTATATTGTTAACTGCATGATAATATATTTAATTACATGTTTTATATTGTTAATTACTTGATTATATATTTAATTGCATGTTTTATGTTGTTAATTGCATGATTATATATTTATTTGCATGATTTATATTGTTAATTGCATTATTATATATTTAATTGCATGATTTATATTGTTATTTGTGTGATTATATATATTTATTTGTGTGATTGTATGATTAATAATATATCTATTTGCGTGGTTATTTATTCATTATTATTATTGCATTACTTTATATTTGTTGCATAATATGATATTATATTAATTTTGAATGATATCTAACTATATATTTTTATATTTATTGTGTGATTATATTTGATTTGCATATTTACATGATTGTTCTTATTGCATGACAATTAATATATTTTCATGACATTCTTACATGAATATTTTAGCCTGATCTAGGCATGATATTATTACATGATATTTGGTATGATTTATAATATATTTGCATGATAATTTTGGCATGGTATGATTTAATATTTATTACATGATTGCATTATTGCTTGATATTTGATAGAATTTTTGTATCACCATGTGTTGTAAATAAATAAAGGGATTATAATTAATTTATTTGCATGATAAAAGCCATCTTTGATTAAGGCTTAGGCAAGATGACATATAATTAATGTGGTACCAATTTTGAGCATAAAAGGGTGCTAATACCTTCCCTACATGTAACCGACTCCCAAACTTTAGTTCTACTGATGTAAACCATAAACTCTTCTTTTTAGAGACCTTTAGCTTAGGCTTACGATAACTTTAAAAAAGATAGATTCATATAGGTGGCCAATCACATCTAGGTAAAAAAGATTGATGGCGACTCATTGATTTTTGTGTCTAATTAGTAAGTTTTTTCAACCTAAACGTTATGACAGTTTGACGACTCCACTGGGGATATTAGAGAGTCAATCCATTAGTTAGTCATGTGTTATCTTAAGCCTTACTTTGCTAGTTTTATTATGTAATTATTTGTGATTTTCATATTACTAACTTATTGGTTATTGTTTTCTTGTTTTGCAAATTTTAATTTTTTATGTGTATTAATTTATTTGATTATTTGATATGTCCCTTTACACACACCACATTTGTATTCATGCATAAGCTCTATACTGGGACTTTATCCTTTATTAGGAGGGAGCAAGTGTCACGCCTTGGGCGGGCGCGCCAGGCACATCAGGCACGATTCTGAGTCTAAGGTCAGAGCCCGCGACACAAGTACCTACACTCTCGTGAGGTGATAACCTTCGTGTGAGCTAGCAAAAACTTTCATTCAAATTGAACCCTTTCTGTTTGAGCCTATAATAGTGGGCGAGGATTAGGGTGCCTTACTTGTTTATAACGAACGGTGATGCAGGGAACAATTTGAGAGCCTTTAATTTGTCAAGCCTTTGAACCTGGCATGTACATGAACCTTAAGAATCCAAACCTGGGTTAGAGCCATACCCTCCATTTATTAGAAAAAAACCTAAATAAGACACATGATGGGATAGTTATTATTCTTGTAAATTTGTGTTATTCCTTGTATATATTATTGCATACTAACCTTTTATATTGTTCTTTGTATATATTATGCTATTCCTTGTATATGTTAACTAAAATTTTTCTCTACTTTATTTTACATGCATGCATCATTAGATTTATATAAGGAGTAATTACTACAAAATAATCTTAACAAAGAGAATCTTAATTACATCCATGGATAACCTATCAAAGTTCCCTATGAGCCTAAGAATAACGGCTAAGGAATCTCAGCTTAAAGTTGGTGATTATTTGCCAGTCAATTCTGTAACTACTTTGCCTACCAAAATCCATCTCAATTTCAAACGAAATGATCTTAACGATTTGGTTAGTATTTGGAACCAATAGAATGTCAATGCCAAGGAGACTTTCCAAAAGAAGTTTAGGGATCTTGCATTACTTTTTTTAGTCTTTATGGATAATCAACTTATTAGGGCCATGGTTCAAGTTTGGGACCTTTTATATCATTGTTTTATGTTCAATGAAGTTGACATGGTACCAATTATTGAATAATATTCAACTCTCATTCGCTTGGATCTCTCTAATCTTGATAAGGTATATTAAAAAAATAAAAAAACTGGTTAACGCAAAAAGCTTGCTCAAATAATGGTCATAGATGTCCAAACTATTGATAATTGGGTAAAAGGAAAAGATGAAAGTGTTGGTATTCGTTGGTCCAATGTTCGTGACTTTATATACAAATATTTTTGCATTGAAAGAGGAATGGATTTGATGGCATTAGCTTCATATGGGATGATGGTATTTCCAAAAGTAATGGGTTGTATTGATGTTACAGTGGTGAATTTATTTGATCAACCTAGTTACCAAATTAACCATATTTTTACAATTTTAGCCGAGACATTAGATCTTTAAATCATTGTCACCTTAATGGAGAGGGCCATTTTATTGGATATGCTCAATTGTTAACCATTTGGATGAAAAGTCATATTAAAAATAATCGTGGTGAATTTAGCAAGCCCTATTTCACTACAAGCACTTTTATTAAGGAATTCTATGAGAATGAATAACCTAGACAAAAATCCAATGAAGTATGGACCTTGTTTCTATGCAAGCTCACTAGTTAAGATGTGATATGAAGAGCTCTTTGGATGCCTATGGACTAAAGTTGTATGGTTGAGAAGATAAGCTTTGGGTTCTTCTATTAGGCCTTTGCGATGTAGTTAGCTATTCTCTCATCATAGTGTAAAGACAATATGGCTATGAACAGTTTATCCCAGCCACTTTCAAACTTAGTAAAATGGAATTTTTATATGTTGAAATTAATGCCTCCCTAAAGATAGCCAAAGCCTTGCAAGCTTGGAATTTGTCTCAAAGGGAAGTTTGGAGGAGACACTCAAATAAGGTTACCTCTAAGTACTTTGTGTGGCACATTTGGCAATGCAAAGACATTAAAATCCCTAAAGAAATTACTTCAAATAGCCTAATGAAATCACCACCTTTTGATCCCTTATTGGTAGTGAAAACCACTAAAAAAAAGCTCTAAGTTGAAAAGATGAATTGGAGCTTCAAAACAAAAGGCTAAAAAGAGGGTTAGACAAAAAGGTTCAAGCACTCAAACAAGAAAAAAAGGAATAAAAGAATCTTTTTTTTTTTATCTCAACATCACACAGTCATCCACCAATCATGAGCTAACCCAACTTTTAAAAGAAAATTGACAATTGCAAGCATAGATGAAAAAGAAAGACGAAGCACTTATTGAAGCACAAAAGCACATCTAAATGCTCAATGAGGTAATGGTTGAAATTGGAACACAAATGGGTGTTGTGAATGAAGAATGTGAACAAGCCAAGGAAGCATATGTGAGAAAGCATATGTGAGAAAACATAACCAATTAACCAATTATAATAAATTTTGATATATTTTTTAGAAAAACATTTTAATAAAATTTTTACAATTGATACTAATCAAATAAATTATATTTTTAATCATTTTTAATATATTATTGATATTCTCATTAAATTCTATCAATATATTGATTTCAATTTTTTTATTCAAATTTTAATTGTATATTTTTATTAAAAATTTTATGAACTCCATTTAGAAAACTTAATCTAAATTATGTCTATCTAATATATCCACCAACACATTTTACCAATAAAAATATGCCACATATGCAACATGCATGAAATAAAACAATTTAATAAATTTTATCCGTTCATGTGAATTCACATGGCAATTCACCATTGATGATGGATTTTTTAATAAAAGAATTTATTTTTTATGTAAAAAGTTATTGTTTTTTTTTTTTTAAAAATCAATAAACTGATATAAAAAATGACATATTGAAATCTTTAACCTTTACAATCACCACTTTTACTGTAAGTAAAAATCAAATCAACTAGACAAAAGAGTAATGTAAATAATAATAAAACACATAGCCTCCTTTTCCATGGGTGCATAAAACTGATAAAGAATCAGGGAGCTGTTACCTCCAATAAAAATCACTTTGCTCAACACCCTTATTCCGATTTCAATGTTAGGAAATGGCGAATGGAAGGGATGACATCGTCCCAAAATACATATTTAAGCTACACTACGCAAACTTTGCCTTCATAATCCATATATCCTCAACTAGCAAATTTTGGGGTTCCGGTGGAGCAGATGTGCTGCTAGTTACAATCCAACCCACATTCCACAAGTGGCGGACCAACTGATTTGGGCAAGAATGGATCCAAATGAATCTGTTGGGCTAAAAGCCTCCAATCCAATCACACCAGCGGAAGCGACATCAAATAATAAATCAAACACACAGAAGACAACAATTTAACGTGGTTCGGTCCAACTGACCTACATCCACGGATGAGAAACAAGATCCACTAGTTGTAGAGAATTACAAACATACATCAAATCATCAACCTCACTCAACAATCAATACTCATAAGACACTCTCAATCTCCTCTAGTCCTATGAAGTATTCTCAATCCAAACAAACACAAACCCAAACCCTTGTGCACCCTTTCAACATAACCAAACACATACCCATATGTTCCCATACACTATACCTATGTGGACTCTCTCAATCTCCTCTAGTCCACTCACAAACAAACATACACACCCATAAGACGTAGAGCCCCAATACTCTTATGGGGTGTCTATCCCATAAAACCCTACAACTCTCTTACATCTTTTTCTCATACCTAACCCTGTAGAGATTTCACTTATTTATAACTATACAAACTTGTCCATTAAGAATCCCTCTCCTCTTAGAATTCTTCTCCTGTAAGTCAAACTTGCCTATTAAGAATCCCTTTCCTTTTAGAATTCTTCTCTTGCAAGTCAAACTTACTTATTAAGAATCCTCTTTCTCTTGATATTCTTCTTTTGCAAGTCTTCTTGTCCATCAAATAATACCTGACAAATCTCAAACAAATCTCTTATGGGATTTGAGTCAATATTCCCAACAGAACCCACACAAGAGAAAAGATAGAAGCCAACACAATTGACCAGACAATAACAATCGTGGGAGTCCTGTTCTCTCGCCCAAACAAACCCTTTAGGAAGGGATACAAGTGAATAATAACCCAGATGGCAAAAAAACACTTTCCAAAAAATTGTCCCCATGAATCATAACCATAATTTATTGCAGTTGCAATACCGATAACCAGTCCTATCATGTTTATTATAAGCAATGTTGTTGGTGGGATGAGCAAAGTTGTCCACTTTAATGCATACGGCTGGGAGAACTCTCCATCGTCGCTTACCTTTGGAGTCTTGATGAAGTTCGTGTCAACGCCGGTTATAACCTTTAAAAGCCCTTGGAATACAGCAAATAGCTGCGCTGAAACGCCTCCAATCACCCACCATTGTTCATTTCTCCACCATTCATCATACTGACTCCACTCCATTTCATTTCCAAGATGCCTGTTGCAAAAATACGAAGGAAAAGTGACAAGAACCAAAAGCTACTGGCACCGCTAAGCTGCCAAATGTATAGGCAATTGAAGATAATTAAGTTCACATCACAAGGATGTCCTAACAACAATGTAAAGAAATTGATAAATTAAAAAAAAAAATAGTCGTGGAATTTTGGACTTTTAATCTCAATAACTCTTGGCAGCTACAGATACCAAAAAAAAAAAGAAAAAAGAAAGAAAAAAAAATCCACAGAACAAGCGAGGTTTTCTTTCGCTAATTTTTGGTTAGAAGCTTAATACCTCTGGAATGATGAATTTCCCCGTTAGCAGACACACAGCGGGAAGGGTACAATATGCAACCAGAGGAATCGAGATCCTCGGATATAGAAGGACATTTATGTAAGAAATACGCTCCATCCACTTTAGACCACCTCCATATCCATACCAAAGAGGACAATGCTTAGCGAAGAGTATTTCAATAGATCTAAGGGCCCATCGGAGGACCTGTTGCAGACGATCAGAAAGGTTGACGGGAGCAAATCCTTTAAATGCAGGCCTAGCAGGAATACAATATACGGATCGCCACCCGTGGCAGTGCATTTTAAATCCTGTTAATATTACCTCTGTAACTGAGTCATAGATCCATCCAACCTATATCACAACAAATATTTGCATGAATTATAAGTATCTTTTGAGGGAAAAAGGTATATCAAAATTTCAATATGAATTATAAGTATCTTTTAAGGGAAAAAATTATATCAAAATATCGATAGCAGAATCTAAAAATTGTTGCTACCTCTTTTCCCCACTCTGTTTTTTCTTCATAACCACAACTGATAACATGGATGGCTTCTCTAAGCAGAGATGCAGGGGCAGGACTAGCACCTTTCAATGTTCCACCATCCTCTAGCAAGGTTGAGGCAATAAAAATAGGGGACTGACCAAATTTCTTTTCCAGTTTCAGCTCAGACAAGGCAAAATTTTCCCCTACCTTTCCTGTATTCAAGATCTCCCAAGTTAGATGACAAGATAATCAAACTTGCTGGACAGTTAAGGTTATTGATTTATAAAATATTGATTAGTCTTACAATCTGACATAAAAATATGTTAGATCCTTGAATGTTTTATAAGGAAATCACAAATCAAATGATCATGGTGGATTCCAGGTCAACCAAATGCACAACTACCGCGTTTTCAGAGTTTTCTTTTTCTTTTTTTTCTAAGAAAGTAGGCTGCAGGAATAGGGGAATGAGATGCAAGTACTGGATTTGAACTTCAGACCTACTGAATGTCACCTCTTAAAGGTGATTGCATAAACTAATTGAGTCAAGGGTTCCACATTTTCAAAGCTTTCACATCTATACTAACAATGCTTCACATAATTTCATTTGTTAGAAAACTTGAATGGTTTTATGGGACAGATCAGAAAGTACAAAAATTCAATACAACACCTTCTTCAATACCCTCCATATCAGTAAACATAAGTGGGGCTGCTTCTCCATCTTCTTGTTCAGTATTTCTTGTCTTTAGTTGTTTATAAGGTAGCTTCTTCTTTTTCCTCGAGCAAAAGCACCCACAACACCACTTACTCCAACAGTTGCATGTCCTTGTAGATGGCTTCTTTGGTTTTGGAGCATCATAGCCATAAAGTGCTAGTCTCCTAAATACACGTCCAGTACCAACGCATATAGGACCTTGAATGCCATCCAAACCTTTCATATTAATCTGAAATTGAGGATTCACACATTATATTTTGGTCAAAGATGAACAAAACAAAATTTTGATGAACAAATACTTACATCAAAAAATACGGTGCTCTTATTAGCATTTTGATCACCCTTGTCAATGCCATCAAATCTCTCGGAGAACTGGACGTAACATATTCTCTTTCCTAGCAATGGATCCATCATGAAACACATTGCCACTTTGAGAGCCTTACTATTATTAATGTAGTGATCCCAATCCAAACTTAAAAGATATGGTGCGTTTGTGAGCACAGCAGAGACTCTAACCAAAGCATTCATTGCTCCAGCCTTTTTATGGTTATTGAACCTTGGTCTCTTTTCTCTAGAAACATACACCAAGCGTGGCAGTTCATTTCCATCAGTGTCAAGTCTTCCACTTTGTCCAAGAAAAACCTGTGATGTACCGCAGATCTAAGTTAATTGATAATCATATATAAAATGACAATCCACTAGACATACTTGAATCATTCCAGGATGATCTCGAATGTTATTCCCAGGCCAAGGAGTTCCATCCTGCATAACCACCCTTCTATTGGAGCCTTTTGAGCCTTGGCAACCAAAGCATTGATCCGAATTTTGAACTCGTCATACTCTCTCTACAGTTACAATTGGCATTGGGGTTGCCATGTGATCAGCCATAAAATAATAGAATAAAATTCAATGACGTTGGAAGTGTTGTTAACTTCAATGCTCTCCTTTCCTTCACAAATGACTGCAACAACTTATCGTTGAAATAGTCCATCGTTTGAGAAAAATACCACTCAGGTGCCGGTGGTTCAATATTATACTTATTACAAAAGGGGACCCATTTCCTCGCAAATTCAGAAGTTTCTGACAGTACCTCAAATGTTAGCATAGCAGCACCATCATCAGAAACATAACATGAGACCTTATCAACAGGGTAATCCACTGCAAGAATGGAAAGAACAGTGTTTGCAGTCACCAGTGGGGATTCTTTTAATGGATCAACTGTACTTACAAATATGTCAACATGAGCAAGTTGAGAAGGTTCCCCTCCTTCTCATACCTGAAAAAGAAAAAAAAAAGAGCAGTAGTCAAAATCTAGACCTTTTTTGTATATGGGAGGCCAAGGGCTAAGAGGAATTGAGGAAGGGGATTTTGTAAGTGCCAGGGATCGAAGCCCAACCTTGCTGGAAACTACTTCCTAAGAAAGGTGGTGAAAAACTCGCCTAAGCCCCAAGTTCAAAATCTAGACTTTAAGAACTATTTCATGAGTATATATGAACACTTTATAGAAAACTTACCTTAAGGATAATCTATCCAGATAAGTTTCCCGGTCAATTGGAAGCATTTTGGAATTGATCAAGAATCCATGAAAGAGCAAAGCAGAATTCACAAATGACTGATACAAGCCATAAAGCATAGTCACCATTCACCGGGTGCATGACTCGATAGTGAAAGAAAAATCCAAGAACTACAAGTCGAATTATGATGATTATCCGGTAAGGGTTGATTTGGCTTGATGGAATGGGCAACTTTCTTGACAATGGTTGTCTAGCCTCGTCCATTCTGATCAACAGGCAGCAAGTATTCAATTAGCCAAGAAATTATTTGTAATCAAACAAGAAGTAAAGCATGTAAATTATTGCCAACAGCCACTAATTGATTGATGCTAAAGTGTTAAACCTTTAATTTCAATAATTAAAGTTTAAATCCTGACGACTTCAAATTTAAAAAAAAAAAGAAGGAAGTTGAGCACTATTAATACCGAAAGCATTTTTCTTATCTAACAAGTTCCTTCCAGCTTTTGGATAAATAAAAAACATCAAGGATGTATTTGGGTTTGTTTTTGTTTGTGTTTTATGCCTTTGTCTAATTTTTTTGAGAACTATAGTAATTATATGTTTGCTTAGTGTGTTTTTATAATGTTTTCGAAAATTTTAAAAAAGATTTTTTACACTGTTATCACGTGAACAGTCCTAATATTCATTGGGCGACTTATAACTATGAGCTCGTTCAAGTTGTGAGAACCCACCACCAAACCAGAACTCACTTGCATTGCTTTCTCTATGTGTCTCTTATTTAAATTTATAAGCCGATCTTCTGACTCCAGGACTGGATAGTTTGATTGTTAAAGTATGCGACTAAATCAGGACCGTTTACCACAGTCCGATCTTGCCTACTTGCAAACTGCCTCTACCTTAGCCCTCAAAGGACCTTTGACCTTTTTTTTTTCTTTTGAAATAATACTTGAGGCTGTATTACTAAAATTAAGAGTTTAACATTTTCAATAGATCATGTGATTGTACGGCGAACCTTGACCTCTTTCGGTGCTTAATCTTCTCGTTCTTTGCTTGTTGCTCTGCTTTGGCTGCCATACTTCCTCTTCAGCTAAAAGTTTCTCCATGAAACTATCATACCCACCATCATATTCGCTTCTTCTACTTCATTTATCATCTAGAAGATAGTAACAAAACATACTAAACGATAAGCTGGACTGCGGGAAGAATTTAAAACGAATGTACAGTTGAACGATTTATACTTATTTTGGGAACTCTCGTATGAACAGTAGTCTGATTTCTTGTTTTTTATCAAATAAAGAATTTCCCAAACCTTTCTCATCAACATCTCCGCCAACATGTGCAGGACCATGTGGTAAATCACAAAGGAATTACAAACTAGGATAATGGATTCACAGTATTTACAGTTTGAAACCATGCAAAAAAATTTTAATAAGAAGGAAATGGTTTAGAGGAACTCTATTTACACCCCATTAAATGCTATACACCTCAATTCTAAATTCACTCTAATTTCAAAACTCAATTTTCTATTTATACTAAATACACCCAATTTTTAACTTTCTATTTTCTGTTTCTACTTTTTTTCTCTTTTTTATTCGTTTTCTAAAATCAAATTTCTCAAAAATGGATATCCAAAAAATTTCAAAGTTTTTTGGATATTTATTTTTGAGAATATTTAAATATTCTTGGATATCTATTTTTGAGAAATCTTTACAAAACAAAATAATGGATTCACAGTATTTACAATTTGTAACCATACAAAAAAAATTTAATAGGAAGGAAATGGGTTAGGAGAATTCTATTTACACCCCATTAAATGTAAAATACACCCACCCCGATTCTAAATATATCAAAATTTCAAAACCCATTTTCTTATTAATACTAAATACACCCCACCTTTGACTTTTTATTTTTTATTCCTACCCTTTCTCTTTTCTTCTCTATTCACATTCTGAAATTGAACCTTTTGAAAATAGATATGCAAAAAACTTTAAGAATTTTCAGATATTCATTTTCAAGAAATTTCAAATTTTCTCGGAATTCAAATCTTCTTAGATATTCATTTCCAAAAAGATTTGAGACTTCTCAGATTTTTATTTACGAAAAGCTCGATTTTACATTTAATCATTAAAAAATCTTAATCATGCCTTTATTAATCCATTTTCTTGATTATGTGTGCAAATGAAATTGAAATCAATGTTTTCAACATGCATGAAATAAATTGAAATCGTTTTCTAGTTTTTTGGGCTCAGGACAAAAGCATTTTTATTTCATGCATGCTTGAGAACTTTGTATCTTCCATTTGCACATATGATCGAGTAAGAATGGGCACATCAATGACTTATGTGTGTGCATACATGCTAGTCCGAGCTCGAACATCCTATTCTAATAATGTTATTAGCTGACTGACAAATCCAATAATAAATGTCTCTAATATTTTGGTCATTAGGATGCTGGTGGCCTAGAGATTAGTGGTCTCTATTATCGGAATTACACCAAAGAGAAATCATTAGAGTTTATAATTAAATATATATACAAACAAAAATTTATGTATTCTCGAAAATGAATTTTCAAGAGTACATGATTACTAACATAAGTTCATTTATGAGAATACATTATAATTTTTAGAAATAGATTTTCGAAAGTTTTATTTTATTTTTAGAAAAAGATTTTCAAAAATTATATTTGTTCTAGAAAATGAATTATCGAAAACATAGTATAAATCTCAGATATTCATTTTTGAGATATACGAAAATGGTTTTGAAGTGTATAAGCTATTAAGGGTATTTTTATCATTTATTAAAAGTTAAAATTAGTATTTGTTATGTGGATATTTTTGGAAAAAAAATTTAAAGGTGTATAACGAAGATTTTGTGGTGTATTTAGAACACCCCAATGGTTTAACTTCAATTACTACTATACCCTTAATTTTTTTTTATTCTCTTGAACTGACACTTCTAGTAGCCTTATTGCCAAATTTGCACTGGTCCAACTATCCTTTCATCATTTTTTAAAAAATAATTAAAAAAAACTCTATCAATTGAGTCTAACTTCATCTAGAACTACCAATCTGATTCGAGGCTAAAATTTGTCGAGATAGATCATATTTGACCTAATGAAAGTATGGCGGCATATTTAGAATATTTTTAAGGGTATATATTTGTAATGTAAATAAAAAATTATGGATAAATTTATCAATTTTATTGATGAAAAAGTTTCCAAAAAACATTTAGAGGCATTCAAATTTTTTTTTTTAATTTTTTGCTCCTGTCTCAATTTGTTTGGAAGGTATTGATTTTTGCGGAGTTTCAGAAAAATTTTTGACTTAATTTAATGTATTTAATATTAAAATTCAATTTTTTATAGAATTAAATTTTCATAATTTTTAATGTCAAAAAGTAAAAAAAATCATAAAATATAAAAAAGTAAAAATTTTAGATTTAAAAAAAAGACATAAATTTGAAATATCCTAAAAGAAAAAAGGGATAGACAAAAAAAAAAAAAAGAGACAGAAGGAATAATTTTTTATCTTTAAGATTCATAAACACATTAATTAATCATAATAAAAAATTATGTAAAAATTTATCATTTATATATGTGGACTCGAAATAATGTTAAATTGTTACTTATTAATTGTATTATAATATTTATAAATGATAAATTTTTTTCTTAAAAAATTAATGTAAAACGTGAATTTGACTACATAATTCTAACAAACTACAATCTAGATCATTAGCATATGTCTTTCTTGGTTATAGTCCAAATCATAGAGGATTTAAGTATCTTTATATTGCTTCAGGGAAAATGCTACATATCTCAACATGTAGTGTTTAGTGAATTACATTTTTCATTTTCAGATGTTAAATCTTCTTCTACTACCTCAAAGACTACTTCGCCTCCCTTATTCCATTGCTCCAGTATAATTCCCACTACTTCTAGACCTGCTGCACTAAATTCAGCCCTTTCGTGTGCAAGTAATCTTCTCAATAGTAACGAGAAGGCTTTGAAACCTTTACGTCTCGCGTCCAAGTCATGTTAATATACGAGTTTATTCCAACTTAATGTTGATCATTTGTTTATTTGATTGATATTTGCTTATATATCGATTCTTCTATGCATATACTATTTGATACATATTAAAAGTTATTTTACTATAATCATAATTTTTTAACTTGTAATATGAATTTCTTTAAAAAAAAAAAATTGAAACTTCTAATCTTAAATTTTTTGGAATATAAAATTCCAAGTTCTTGTATTTTAAATTTAAATAATATCTAAAGAAAAATTCAAATCCGAATTTGAGTTTTCAAATGCAATATTATGCTACATAATTAATCTCAAATTGCTAATCAACAACCTTAAGGATTAATTCATGCATAAAGTTGTTTTAGTTCTTCTGAAATCATTAAATTAATTGTTCCTCGTTTTTATTTATCATGAAGTGGTTATTAGCTACAACATATTGGGAAGAAACATATACTGGGCAAGAGCCTTGCAATTTAAAGAAGAGTATCATGATACCACACATTCTCTCTTCATGTCACATTTCTATTTCTTTCACATAGCAGATGAAATAAAAATGATTTACCCTTCAACATGTTGTCCATTCCTTAGCAAATCTTTCCATGACCGGTGCTGGCAAACAAATCGGCACCAAAGTTCCAACTTCGCCTTTCATATACTTGGCTCGTATGAAAAAGCTTATCACTCCAAGACCTTTTGCTGGTCCTCCAAACACTGCCTTACCCCACCCGAAATCGACGTCATCGAGTCCAAATTTTGTTACATCTGATATCAAGTAGGAACCAATCACTGCTGGGAAGTGCAGCCGTTTACCCCTAATCACCATCAAACTAGCGACTGATTTCACATATTCCTCCGTCACGCTTGCCTTGGCTTGCTTCACTAGTTCCACTGCATGCCCCAATGGATTCTGGCAAAGTTTTCTAGCTGTTGTTATTGCTGCTGGGAACACGATGGCATTACCATAATATCCCAATGGCAATGGAGGATTAAATTTGGAACGTGTGTTAGCAAAGCATAGCATGCGCACTTCTTCGTCAGGGTCAGGATTTATAGCAATGGTTCGACAAAGCCATAAGCAAGCTGTTAATAGTTCGAACTTGGAGCATTGGCGAAGGTGGGGTGGGAGCAGCTTTCGAAGAGCTTGAACTTCATAGGAGCCGAAGAAAAAGGAACGTTGGACCAGGTTGTCCGGTAACTGGGTGCTAATGTTGGCTTCCACTTCGTCGTACTCGTGGTGTGTGAAAGTGACTCGTGGTGGGTCTCGAGCATCTAGGAGGTGTCTTTCCCATACGGGTGGGATCGAGGTTGTAACCAAGCCACGTGCCATTTCGCCCATGGTGGACATGAATTGTTTTAGGCCAGCGGCGTCGCTCATGACGTGGTTGAAGCGGATGGCAAAGATGAAACCACCGCATTTTAGCCGTGTTACCTATAATCAATTAATAATA